AACATCTTCGAGTATCTTGAAACTAGTCTGGTTTCCCTTGTGTAACCTTCCTTGGATAACTATATATACTATATATAATATCACCTGGATGACTAAGAACATTCACAGAAATCTTTTATCTCCACCACGGTGAGCTGCCTGCCCTCGACCCCTATATGTCTCACTTAAGGCTGAGCTGTTCTGGTAAAAACTTGACAGTCTTGGTCATTTTTTGGACGAAATGTGAACTAGAGAATGACCAAAATGTCATGTTTTCACCAACTTTGTGAAACAGCTTCCTTGTCTTAATAATTATGCGTTTTGTTATAATCTGTCTGGCGTAGAAACACCAGGTGTCTCTGCTGCTTTAGATGACTGATCGAAGAGGAATGCTGTGTTAAACTTGTGCTTGTGTTGTTCCTCAAGGGATTTTGTGGTTAAAGTTATTTTTATTTTTGCTTTTATTAATACCTTTCATTCGAGACAGAGTCAGAAGAAAAGGAGCGAGGGGAGACAAAACCAAACAAGTGGAACATTTTTAGAATGACCCTGAACCAAAACAAATCATTTTGAGGCAAAATGAAAAAAGACTACAAGCAGAAAAGATCAACGAAATCAGCTGAGAATGACTCATCACCTCCCGTTGTCATTTGCTGATTTCTGATAAGAAAGACTTGTGTCATGTAGTGCAACAAAATAACCAAATGCTTGGGTCTTAAGAGGTTCTTTTTTTGTGGCTTCTTTCTTTTTTAGGGTGATTCAGTTCTATGTTTAGAGGATGCACTTTGTGGTGGTATTATATTGGCCTAAATTATAATGAAAAGAGTTTATAACTGCGTCAACAACAATTAATAATGCTAAATTTCACAAAAGATTCACTTTTGCACGACATTTGTATTGGACTGTTTGGCGGGTGTTACTTTAAGGAAGGTGCTTGTGTTGATAAACCTGAATTAAATGTGTTCCTTTACCAGCAAAAACAAGAATCCGGTCAAACTGGTTTTATTTGGCATCGGTTTGAAGGTTAGATTCTGTTTTGTGTTGTTTTCCTGTAACCAAGACTGACAATTTTTTTTTGCCTTAATTGACTTATTACTGGTACCCGGAACCGGGGGCAGCCGGGCTGTGGGTGGATGTTCCGTTCTCAATCTACAGGCCTGTAAAGCATGGGTGTGCTTTTGGTGAAACATAAGCCAGGAACAGTAAATATTGCCAAAATATAGACATTTGCCTTGTATATTTTGAAAATATTGCATGATAACTTTTGTATTTTAGTTTATTTTCATCAGATTTACAGTTACAATTGCATTCTAGGTGTATTAGAAGATATTCAGTTGCATTATAAGCTTCCTTATGATGGTTTTGAAGGTTTATTGCATTAATATGTAGCTTGTTTTACCAGGCGAGGATGAAAATATCATATTTCCATGTAGTCTGTAATGGTAAAATAAATTTATATTCCTTAGTTTCTGACCTTTCAAAGCAGACCAGAATTATGCATCTTGATGCATGCAGATGGTTGAGTTATTCCTGATTCATTTTGGATATGTTATTGTAGGCTTTTTTCCTGGAAAAAGGTGCCTGTCCCCAACAGGTTAATATATTAGTAATGGCCAAGAGGAAAGAAATTATTTTTACACGTTGCTTTGCCAGAACAAGCGACTTCCAAACAGATCTGAATGTTGCATTGAGCAATAGATCAATACATAATCTAAATAATGTAATGAAGAATGCATTTAGAAAAATTTAAATTCAAATGTGTATAACATCTTCAACATTACCGCTTGATTAACAGAGTCTTCTCTTTTCATAGGCGAGTTACTATCACCAAATATTTTAAGAAAAGCGGCCTTCAGGTGTATTTTACAGACAAGATGCAGTGAGACAACAAAGCAAACTTCACTGGTTATTCTCTCATTGTATGAGAGGTGAGACCTTGTTTGAACATGTAAACAATTACAATTAGTAAACTAAAGTTAAACCTCTGTCTTATTTTTGTTGGGAAGTCTATTTTTGGACTATGTCTGAGTTTAGAGCCGAAAACATGCACAGTTGAAGAAACCATTGCAGCCGAGGTTATGCCATCACTACACACCATTCCTTAAGTTGTTAAAGAAAAATTGTGAGCCAGTTTCAGGTGTGATGAAGAAGTTTCAGAGACTGATGAAGGCTTACATAGCATGGTTTAATGAGACTCAGCCAGTGGAGCCAGTAGGTTCTTGTAAACATTCTTGTAAGATTCAACCTCTCAAGATTCCCAGAGAACACCGATCTGCTAGCCTGACGCCTGAGCTACTGCCATGACGCGCACATTCGTGTACACATGGGCGTACAGACACATATCAACTACACACAATTGCAGCCTTGGATCAGCAACACGGACAGCAGCAAAAGTGCCAAATGCAAATCTTACGGGGTGCTGCTCTTAATTGCATCCACGTTCCCTCACTTGCGTCTTAGTCCCGCCCACCGGGGATGCATGAAGAGATGCAAGGACACCAAGCCAGGAGAGAAAGAATGAGGAAAGATGTTTTAAGAGACATGAGATGTCCTTTCCTCTGACAGCTGATCCAGAAACGGATGTCGTTTTATGTGACGCTTCAGTCGGCTCTAACAGCTGTAGAGACTTTTGATAGAATTTGTGTCTGCACACATGTGCACAGTGTTGGTACTAATAAAGTCTCACAGTGCACAGCAGCATGATTCTCTCTGTAGCTGTTTAACAAACACCTGAAAATGAATAGGCTAATTATAGGCTACTGTATGTCCTGCTTAGAGGCACAGGATTGTTTCTACTGGCACAATGCTTATAATCTGCATTTATATTTATTATTATTGTTATTGAATAGGCCTAACCCAGAATATGATCATGGTGTCTTGGGATGTATTAGGCTAAATGTTTCAGGGAAATGAAATGGTGTAACTCAAATCAAACTTTTAGGCTTTCCGTTTATGTCCTCTTCTGATATCCTTTAACACTAGGCTACTGCATAGCCGACAGTTTATTTGCAAGTCACATGGCTGTTGTTCAGACCTGCAATGAACTCAGTCAAATACTGCCTAAGACTTTGGAATGACACACTTCAGTTTATTATTATCTGTTGTGATGCATCAGATCAGTCTGGACAGCTGCAGCGTCCAATCAATATAATGGCTACCCAATAACGGGTTGTGTCTGCCAGTAAAAGACTTCCGCGAAGGATGCACTGATGTATCCTCGCTCATAACTCCTCAGAGATCGCTCCTTGATCCTTGATCCTCAATACTCGATCCTCCCAGCGCAAATAAGAGCTTTGGGACGGTCTGCAAGATAGCGGAGCGGAACAACTTCGGGTTCAAGCGAGGAAACGACAAATAAGAGACTTGAGAAGGACCCACAGTGGTAGGAATGTGGTTTTGTGTTCATGTGATCCTGTTTAAGTCTGTTTCTATTTCTGTGTAGCCTTGTTTATTCCTTCACATGTCCGAGTTTACTCTGTATCTGGTTTCATGGTTTTGGGTTCTGTATTGATCTTGTCATGTTTAGGGTTTTGTAGCAAAGTTAGTTCTTATGTTTATCTGCATGTTTTTTACCTGCTCAAGTCCCTATCCTAGGTTTCCATGTTTCAGTGTAGTCCTGTCTCCTGTTTGGTCCGGTCTCAGTCCATGCCCTGATTTTGCAGTCTTTCCATGTTTTGTGTTTTACTTTGGTAGATCTGCCTTAGTTGTGTTTCACTTCCTGTTTTACTTTGTAGTATTCAGTACTCATGTGTCCTTGTCTAGCTTGTCTAGTCCTTCCTGTTTGATTACCTCATGTGTTTCACCTGTGCTACACTCCTTGCTTGTTTGTCTGTGTGTGTATATAAGCCATCAGTTTTGTCTAGTCCTTGTTGTTGTCTTATGTTGAGTGTTCTGCCCTGTCCCTGTGTTTCTGGATGACCCTGCTTTTGCCTGCCTTTGCTTACCTCAGTTTGGATTTACTGTTGTTTGGACTTTGCCATGTACCAGTGAGAGCCTGTTTAGTTTTTGTTGGTTTAAATAAACCACCTGCATTGCATCCTGCTTTTGTGTCTTGCGTTTGGGTCCTAACCTGCCTCTGCACTCAGCCAACCGTGACACACAGTCTGCCACACAAAGTAGCTGACACAGTACATAAATAACCACAGAACAAATAGCAATCAAGAAACGCACAGCAACTCATTATGCCTGCATTCATGCCAGCATAAATGAATGGATGACAGCATCTGATCACGATCCATGTGGCAATTGCCGCTGTCCCTCGTGGGCCCTTGTAATCAGCTGGGCCCCGGTGCATTGCACCAGTTGCACCGTCTCTACGTACTCCACTGGCACTGTCTCTCCCTAATCAGTCTAACTGTCATCACTCTAACAAGGACAAGGACGAGGACGGTTACAGAGGCAAATGACTCTAAGCTAGACCTGCCTTACCTTTTCTTTTACATGGATGAAGCCACCTTAAGCAATATCTTTAACATAGTGAGTTCATTTTTTATAAGATTGAACTCTGACTGTGTGACTTTAGTTAGGTTTTTGCAAAGGGCAGCAGCTTCTCATTCAGCTTGTCTTGTTATGATGACGGACTGCTGTATTAATTTTAATCCCTGTCACCACTCTGTGCCAGAGTATATAATTGGCAACTGAGACCAAAAATTCTCCTTAAATGTGTTAACACATTTTCCAACATGATTTTGGCTGTGTGCATGCATAATTTAGATGGCACTGGATGATCCTGTGATTGTTCTTTGTTGCCCATACTTGTGTCTGCACACTGACTTATACTACTCATTATAAGAGTGCTTCCAGTGAAGTCCTCATACATAAAGAAATATGCTCACTGACAGAGACGGGATTGAGAACATTATCAGAAATGAGTACATTTGTTTTTATCTCCCATTTGCTGCTTACCATAATTAAATTGAAAGTGAAAACATCCACTCTAATCAGGTTCCTTTTCACCCTTCAAGGCAACAAACTGTGATGAATTAAATCAAAACCAAAGATATACCGCCTGTGGTATGCATATGTATTTATTTCACAATAATGTGCTTCGTTTAAATTACAAAAATATAGTATATTCAAAGATGAGTCATGCAGCGCATCATGCCGTTGTAATTATCCTGACAGATACATAATGGTTTGTTAAGAAATGGCATCATTTAAATCCAGAGCCTACATTAGCGTCCAGTGGATTGTAAAATTATAAACCTGTCATTCAGGCAGCCAACTCAAGTTGAATAAACTATTATCTGCATGCAGAATATATATATGAGTTGAAATTTGATGTCTAGGCTCTGACTTCATCATACAGTATATTGCAAGATCAGCACCGCAGAGACCAGTGAGTGACCCTGGACTGATTATGAGACAATGGACCCCCCAACATGTCATAGGAGCAAGACCCCCAGATACAAAATGACTCGGCCGCTACAAACCTATGCCTGATGCACACTAAAGGATTTTCAAATCTTAACCAATATTAAAAATGTGGGATATTACAGACGACAGAATTACCTGATTTTTAATATTTGAATCTTAAGAACGCCCATACCAGCAGATTCAGTTAAGACGCAGGACCACATACTTGCCATTTATACTAAACGGTTTCTGCTGGTTCTGGGGACTTGGGATCTCACAAAAACTCACGTGATCAAATGTGACTTCAGACATCAACAAACATGGAGGCAGACTGTCCTCATCAGCTAGTTGCATTTGTGTGGGCTATGTTTTGCACAGAAAAACAAAAACAGAAAATAAAACTGCATTAACTGATGAACTTGTGGCTGAAAAGAGGGAATTAGCATGGTTTATACATTTTTATAGAACAAGTAAACTGGTTGGTGAAGCTTCCTGGTCAGCTTGCTCTCATTGGCTGTTTCTGATCGGATGTACCTCCATTTCAATTTGTAAATATTGTAAAACTTTAATTAATAGCTGAGTCCCAAAGAGCCACCTACCTCCTTTACTGGCCTGGTATAGGAACACATTTTAGCATATAAACACAGGTCTCCATTAAACGCCTGGTCTGGTTTTTAAGTAAGTTCTTTGGATCTATAAAACCTCTTAAACCCCGCCGGGTCGCCCGCATTAGCTGCTCCTGAGCTGCTTAGATCATTAAAACAATTATTAATTTTAAACGTTTGATCAATACACACCACACTTCTCTCATCCTGCACCCTGTTTGTTTTTGCTATGTTGCGGCCTTCAAAATAAAAGCACATAAGCTGTCTGTTGGAGCTAGATCAATTTAATGACATGTATTTGATGATATTGGGTAATTTTTATATGAGTAATAATCTGTTTAAATAAATTAACTGTTTCATCGTAGCCTATTTCAGTCTTGTGCAAGAGGAATTACAGGCCTGTCCCATATGGACGCCTGTCCCAAATATACGCAGGGTCAAGTCAGTTAGCAAATAAAAGCCGTGCTGTTAATCAAAGTTTTACGGTTGTAACGACCCAAAATCAGGGTGCCTCCAATCCAGTCGGTAACCTAAAGTCGACCCCTCACACTACAGAATTATTTTGGATGATAATTGCTTCCGACCAGCCTCGGCTCGAGAGTCGTTGTTGCTGTTGTTGGGAGGGGCAAATCGGACCCAAAATTGGCCCAATTACCCTCCAGTGTTCATAGTTCTTTTTTGTCTCTTTTTTGTTGTATTTGTTGTATTTGTTTTATGTCTCTTTGTAGTTATTTTGGGTCTCTTTGTACTTATTTGTGTTTCTTTATAGTTGTTTTGCATCTGTCTACAAAACAGTTCAATCATCTGTTCATATGTACCAGACAAAAACAACAAAACTAAACTAAACTAAAATAACGAGCAGTTAGAGGGAACACAAAAGAAGGAACTTGCAATTGAAAGGGGAAAAAAGTGCTATTTGGCTCTGTAAATTAGATGTTTTTTCAATTGAGTCTTGAAGACATATAACAAACTAGATGACATTATATTTGCTTTCAAACTGTTCCCGAGAGAGGGACATCTATATTTAATGAAATATTGATATTTCAGAAGTACGACAGTGAGGTAAATTTCAATCCTTTGAAGAATTTAATGAAGGTCTGAGAATTGATTTTAAACATTTTGGCAAATGTCAGGGTGGCTGTTAGGTACAATCAAATACATAAAACCATATGTCTAAAATGTGAACTTCATAAATGTTTAATACATTTCCTAAACAGTGGGACAGGTGAGTCATAGCTACTTGAACCATTTTCATGATTTCTTTTTTTTCAGGATTGAGAGTATCTTGTTAAGGCAGCATGAGTTTTTAGCATCCCAACAACAGTGTACACCGGTGTATATTTATAAATAATAATACAAAGTTAAATAACAAGTAAGCAATGGTCAGTCAACAGACTTTTCTCGACAGACATTAGATTTTTACAAATCAGTGTGGATGTTCCAAGCAAGACTTTACATTTAAAAAGACTTGTAAGAGACACTTGCATTATCTGAAGTGGCTGAACTGTCTCATAGGTTTCACTGCATTCATTATTTTCTATATGCTTCAGGTGAGAGTGATCCTTTAAGTGCCAGGATATAACTGCTTATCCAACAGACTGGACATCTCCATCCAGGACAGGTCCCACTGCACTTCTGTCACGTCCTGCTTGGTCGCAGGAAGCTCCACTGCCGGTAGATTCTCTATTGGAAGTGCCAGACAGCTACTTGTGCAAAACCTCTGGTACCTTTACACAAATACAGTAATCAGTTAAGCATTTACTCAACAGTCTGTTTGACTTGTGATTCATGCCCGGATGTTATCTCTCTAATGACATGCTTACAGTAGAAAGTGGGTTGACGATTTTTTAATAGATACAGTGACTGACCTGTAGTGACAAATTAGCCAAACACTTAGAAGGATGAGGAAGAGAAGTACAATTCCACAAAAAAGAATGATCCATTTCCAGGAGCCTGATAAGAGAGAGCAAACAATATTTGTTTGAATGTGTCAGGATAAGACCATAACACAGTGGTACCAGAAACTACATGACTACTACACCACATCCTACTGTATCTCTGTAGCTGCTCATTAACACCTGCAATCACACTAAGAAGCCTTTCAGTATGGCATACATCGGCCTGATTCATAGGATAGGTAAATTAATGTATTAACAATGCAAAATCATTTTACCCATAGTGGATGCTGCTGTCCCATCTGTTGATGTGAAGTTGCCTAAAAGACATAACAATTGACATCTTTCACTGATCCTCTTATATTGCACCAAGCGGAATAATAAATATTATCATCGAATGTAATTAAGCCACACAGCCGACCTCGGGCAGGTCTCACTGATAACCAGCTCTCTGGGCTCTCCATCTTTCTGTCCTGGGATGCACACTTGTATAAGCCTTCATCTTCCAGTGTCACATTCTCAATAGTCATCTCTATTACTCCGTCTGAACTGGAAAAAAAAGTTTCAGCGATGATTTCTCTTCCGTTTTTAAAGAAGGTGGCATTACTGTGGTTGCCAATCCTGTACTGACAATACAAGACCACTTTATTGCCTGCAAATACAGGAAAGGCAGGAGACTTTAAGATGATGGTACCATCTGTGGGACAAAGACAGAAGACACGGTTAAAAGACATATTGCTTCACTATAACTTCTCACTCTTTATTATTTCTTATTGTTTCTTTTGAATACAGTCACTCACACAACACATTTAAACTTTAACATCACTATTACACAACTCACTGCTTGCTGTGATGTTGACTGTGTTGCTGCGACTCTTAGTGTCCTCACACCAGTACAGTTGGCTCTCCCTCCCGGCAACAGTGAACTCACACTTGTCTATGCTAACAGCATCCCCTGGTGTTGGACAATTTGAAGTGTACAAGTCTTTTTTGTCCAGAGAAAACTGCATCATCTTCCAACCTGAGGAGTAAGGGCACTGCAGAAGGAAAGTCTCCCCTTTGAAGATCTGTCTGGTGCTGGGAGTCAGAGTCAGAGAAGGAGGAGGCAGCTCTGGAGGACAGAGGTGGACAGAGGGAACAGACGAGAAATTGAGAAGAAGACAATCAAGAAATGCAGATGTTTCATACCATAGCAGTTCGCAAATGCACTAGTGATAGACCGATTGGGCGATTAATCGTTATAAAACATGACAATTTAAAATTGTATTTTGGCCGCCCCGCTTTCTTTATATCGGCATCGGTATCGGCCATTGAAAAACCATATTGGTCGACCGTTAAAATGTACCAGCAGTTCTGCACGTCTGGCTGTAGACTAATGCGTCACATGGGATCTTAACTGATGTAACAACATATCTCGATAAAATCCTGACAATTATCACACAGTATGTGTTTATATTATTGATTGACTGTCTTTATTGAACTCAGCTGTATGTTCTTATACTAAACATTGTCAAATGCTAGCACCATGACTCCAGGGATGGCAATGTAAATCCGTCTGTCCCCTACATTGGTCCAGGCTGAAATATTCATAATATTTATAACAATTGGATGAGTTGCCATGAAATTTGGTACAGAGATTCATGTTCCACTCAGGATAATAACTTTGGTGATTCCCTCAATTTTCCATCTAAATATTAAAATGCCCATTTGTCCAGTTCTGTGACTTATCACCAAATACCTAGAAAACTAATAACATTGCCATCAACCTCAGCTAAAAACAAGACCATGCTAACACGCTAAACTAAGATGGTGAATGTGTTAAATATTATAACTGGTTAGCATCAGCATGTTAGTATTGTCACTGTGAGTATGTTAGCATTTAGGTCAAAGCAGCCAGAGACGTTTTATAGAGGAGACACGCCACTCAATCACATCCTCAATACAACTCTATGGGGAAAGCCTGTAACGGCAAAGATGGCAGTTATCCCGCCCCTCCCGCTAGAAAGCCAATCGTCTGCTTTTAACAGCCAACGCGGGAAACAGGTGTTTGGTATATTGTTAAAGGTAGGTGGACTGGTCTAAAACATTTTGTATGTGTTGTACAACAGATGTTTGTGATACATATTTATTTCAGGTCGCTGTAATACTTAAAAGTGTTATTTCCATTTTAGGATTCACTACTTAGCCGACATATATTTGAAATTGGTATAAACCACGATGTAGAATATATTAACCTTAAGAGTTCAGTGGCTGTTATACATTCGGACGTCAAACTAATATAAAAATAACTGCATATATGTGTTGTTGCATCAGAAGTCAGTGACTACACAACCTTAACGCTCTTCTTTGTTTTCATGTGTATATAGTAGGAACCTGATGCCTCACTGCTCACCTGACACAATGAGCACTGTCGGCATGCTGGGCACTGCCACAAGGGTGGTGTTGTCCTTCCACCAATCAGCTTGGCACCAATACTTGCCCGCGTCCTCCCTCGTTACCGCAGTGATGGAGTAGCTGTCACCGGAGACCACGTGCCTGGGGTTTGGGGTCGGAGCAGTGTATGAATTGTGCCTGAACCATTGGTATCTCCGCACAGATCTGAAGTTTGACCCCAGTGTGCACTGCAACAACACACACTCACCAAGGTAGATGTTTGACCCCCGAGGCCACACAGACACTCCGACCTTCCCAATCACTGCAGGAATAAATCATTATAATCATTATGGTTTGCGGTTTTTCATGCTTGTGTAATATATACACTGAATATGAGACAGGTGCAGGTTTTTTTTAAATGTATTGTCTTTGCACGTACCTGTAGCAACTTGGAGAACAAATGCAGCCACACCTGAAACAAAAGAAATTATTCCACATAAAAACATCTCCTTATGTCCTCATATACTACCACAGCTTGTTCTTGCTGCAGTGAAGGCATTTTGAGTACAGTATGTTTAGTCCACAGTCTGCTCTGCCAATCAGGAGTAAAATGTATTAACGTGTACACCACAAGCGGCTCAGATGGGTTGTTCCCACATGACGACTCGCCAGATAGACAGTTACGGTCCACTGCTGATTTTGGATTATATAACCAAGACAACAAGTAAAAATTCAAAAAGGTTCATCTCCACAGGCAGATTTAATACAACGAGAAACATGTGTCTGTAAGACATAACAACAATCTCTCAATTCTGCTGATACATTGTTATGAAGACACAAACCATCCAAGCCACGTCCTTTTGAACAACACACACATAGTCATAGTACTGCCACACAGTGTGACAGAGAGGAGAGCTTCCTGTTCCTTAATGAGACTGTTTAGACGGTTATCATCCCTATGGGAACAGAAGGAATGAACACATTGGCTACACACACACACACACACACACACACACACAGTGGTGTAACATAGTACTTATACTGTGGTCATACAGTTTTTCAACATAACTCACGGCTGTCAAGGATGGAATAGCCAACGACGATTTGGCAGCCCTAGCCGAATCATTTCTATTAGCCCTATTCAGATTATGGCTAGTGCACATCATTTTAATTTAGCACTGTCTGAAACTCCCAGCTGCAGGCCAGTAAAACGTATAATCCTGCATACCATACTGATAAGAGTACAGCGTTGGGTCTAAGTCAGCACGGCTGTGACAGCTGAACACCTTCTAAAGTGCTTGGATACAGTTTTTTTCCACCACTAGAAGATTTTTTTTCAATGAAAACACAAAGATATGCTTGTAAGTCTTCCCAATAGAGGCCAGTCTGAATGCAGTCATTTACAAGTTGAAAAACAGGCAGCAGCGTGTCAGTCAGTCAGCTTGCATCTGTGACACTCACCCAGCAGTGAGGAGATAAGGATGTTCATTCTGTCGAAAGTCCAAATTTAGATGTGCAGGTCCTGTGTGATCCTTTTATAAAAAGAGAGAACGTGATGAATAATTATGATTTTAAGATTTCCACCACTTTAAATGATGCATATTTCAAAAGTCCATTGTTGTTTTCCACAGCCTTTTTATTTGCAAAGCCATGAGACAGAATAATTGAATCGCTCAGGACGAGTTTCGACTGACTATCAAAGTAAACCACGGACAGAGATTGTGATCTTGGTGGAGACATTTCCTTCCCCAGTTAACAGGCGGAGCCATCACACAGCTGAATCCAGGCAGAGAGGCAAATATCTCAAACCACAAGACAACCATGCAGTATCACAATTTCTCCGTAAAAATCTCTGCTTCGTGTGTTGCACATATGTGACCTACAAAACCTGCTGCGACTGTGAAAGTATGTTTTTCACACAATGCTTTGGATTTTCTCAATAAGTTATTATTGATTTGATTTACATCCTGTCAATGCTGAAATGAATTTCTGCTCTTTACAATTTTATTTATCCATTTTTTCCCACTCAGGTTGTTGGTTGTGTTTTGTTATTTTTTCTTTTCTCTTTTCATATCCTACTTGTCTTTCCAGTACTTGCTGACGCTGATGCTTATTTTCTCTTTGGGGAACATTTCATTTTATTCAGTTTAATCCTATCAGTTACAGTCAGACAAAGTTGTTGTAAATTGAATGAGGGGAATCATAACCCCAAGTCAATTTTGTTTCTAAAGCCACACTAACACCATGGCTCTGCTGATTGCATTGTCTATCGGTTGGTAAAATATTTCATATAACAACTGTTGAACAGATTGCCAAGAAATTTGGTACAGACCTACCATCCCAGAGGATGAACCCTAATGAATTTGGTGATCCCCTGACTTTCATTTACCGCCATCATCAGGTCAAAACAATTTGTCCAGTACTAGAACCTGACTCTGTCAGCAAGCGCGTACACTGCGGACATTCAAAGTTCTTTTCTGAAGTTAAGATGCAAATACAAAGATACTTCAGAGAGAAAACAAAGAATTAAAAATAAAGTAAAATAATTAACTGACAAAAGATATTAACAAAGATATAACAAGATTAAAATAATGGACAATTTGTCAAAGTGCTTTACAGATGCAAAGAAACAAATACAAAGGTATTTCAGAAAATAAATGATGAAAAGACAATTGATATTAAAAACCAGATAAAAACAATATTGAAATATGTTACACTGAGCTAAAAGCCTGGTCAAATCAAAATGTTTTAAACCTGTTTTAAAAAAGAGTCTAGAGTCGGGGCTTTTCTAATGTTCTCTGCCTACTGGTTCAATTTAAGAGCAGCATAATAGCTAAATGCTGCTTCTCTATGTTTGGTCTTTACCTTAAGCAGGACTAACTGACATACTCCTTGTGATCTGAGAGTTCTGCTTGGCTCATATTGGTGCAGCTTATCAACTAGATATGCTAGTCTTACACATAGACTGTAGGTCTATGTGTAAGACTAGTCTAAGTCTATCCTATATCATACTGGTAACCAGGGCAAGATTTAAAGGTTTATAGTGTGTAAGATTTAGTGGCATCTAGTGGTGGGGGTTGTGAATTGCAACCATCTGTCCAGGCTACCACTGACCCCTAACTTTTCAGAGCGTAGGACAGCTACGGTGGCTGACACAGCATAAGAGATGTCTCTTCTGAGAAGAAAGTAGCCAGTCAAGAAATGAGGTTTCTTTAGGTATATTTATTAAGAAATTATTTTTACTAAATTGTTCAGTGAATCCATATGTTGTTGTGACTTGGCCACTGACAGATAACATGGAAAATGTAAGCCAAGAGTGTAAAACACTTTCACTGTTTCTGCACCACAATCCATTATAAACCACACATTAGATAAAGTTTATACAAACATTGACAAGGGAAACGCATTCACTCTCTCTCTGTCAGAAAACACGATTCCTCTAAATGGCCTCTGCCTGGAGATACTCGGGAAATGCAAAAGCGTCCATGGGTTGATGGATGTGGATCAAAAATTTAAACACAAACAGTGCAGCACATTCCGTGATCTGAGAAACATTCGTTGCAGAGTCCATTTGTTGAAGAGAGAAAAAAAAGTTCCCCTGGGGTGGGATCAAACAATCAACCCTTGGGTTAGGAGTCCTGCACCTTAGCGACTGAGCTAACCAAACAACATGTTGAATTAATATTATCAATATTATGTCTTATGTCTTATATTCTCATCCAATCTAATGGTTGACAATATTGCTCCAATGCAAAACTTTCATGTATGTGACTGGCACAGAATGCTTAATAGTTTTTTTAAGAGCACACGTTTATAACAAATTTACACATACATTTAAAACAATGGCTGTCCATCTGAGTATGTTGTAGAGTCTGTGTGCTCTCTGTCTGTTTGTCTGCTGTTACTGTCATTCTCAACTGCAGAGTTAATGACATTCAACAGCATTCTTCACCTTTATTTTAGTGTTTACTCACTACCCTACCTGAATCTGCTGTCTGCCTTCAGTTAATATTCCCACACAAGCCCGCACATAGGCCTACAGCTCTGCTGCAAACACAGCGGCTTGCCCTACCTTTTTTCCCTGTCTCCCTGTATTTGTCTGCCCTGTGGACTTTCTCCATCAGCACTGGGCTGTATTATAAAGCGACTCGCAATTTCCACCCACAATTCCATACTCAGCCGCAGCTGCGCGGAAGAGGCGTGTTAACGAGATAGCCTATCGTAACCGAAAACAACGTTGTACCCAGTTCCGTCTAAACCGGTGTGTTCGCTGTTGCTTTACCTGGTCTGTGCTCGTAAAATATCCACCGTCTGAATCTAATAACGTAATAGATAGCCTAGCATTTCTCTCAGTTTTTCTCTGCAAAATGCTTAAATGGGTTGCCAAATATACTTGGGTTGCCCTTAATGTAGGCTACCTGAGGGCCCGCCCAAGTAAAGTCTATGTGTGGGAAACACTGATATTACTGTCAATCTGAATGGCACACCCAAAAACAAATGGTCCAGCCCCTCTGGCATATGCCAGAATTGCCAGATGGCCAATCCGCCCCGATTATGGGCATTTTAGTGTGCCAACATTAGCAGTTAGCACATGCAGCCTGACAGGGCGATATGGCTGTAGACTCGGCTGAATTTACTTGTAGGACAATACAAGGCCCAGAATTTCTGTAAGAAAGGCATTAAAGCTCTCTTATGTGGTATAATCCTGTACAATACAGGCTAGTAAAATAGCTAAAGTCTAATTTGGGTTTTTGCCCACCTCAAACTTTTTACAGTCAAACCTGTATCAATGTCTAACTTGCATGTGGGCTGTGCTTTTACAGGTACCTACCACTGCCTCATTATCCCAGAGTGATCCCCGCCCTCTCCTCCTCATCACCCCTCCCTCCACCTCTCTGCCACTCCCTCCCTCCACATCCAGCCTCCGAGCATTCACAGGGTTTCTTCCAGGAAGCGCGTCGGGCAGTCGGATGCTCTGCTGGAATGCCTGGGAGAGAGACCATCCTTTCTGTCCATTTCTGAGAGAGAGAGAAGGGAGGAGAGGCCAGTGGGGAGGAGAGGAGGAGGGGGAGGAGGAGGGGTGGCGATCGGAAAGAGGAACAGACATGGCTTCTAAAGAGATCACTGCCTCTGGTTTCGTAAGTGTGAGCAAGGATATCACAGGTGGGTAAAGGCTGCCGCTTGTTTATTTTGCTCTGTGTGTGTCTTCTTGTTGCGGGCTGTAACCGCGGTCACCCCCGGCGTGTCTGCGTTCATTCGCGGGATGCTTTTCCTCCGCGCGTCTGGCGGAGACTGCGACCGAACAGACGCATTGGGTGATGAGCATGAGATACACCTTTACATTTTTTCCGGAAGCTTTCCGGGGCGGCTTTTTCCTTTCTCTGTGCATGTGATTTAGTTAACGTGCAGATTAATTATTTACAGTGCAGGGACATAGACCTTGCTTTAAATCTGCCCCTCGGGCATGATCAGTTAATAAAAACCCCAGCCTTAGGCCAGGGAGGAAAAGGGGCGTTGTGGAAATAATGGTGTGTAGCCTACTCGTGGGTCTGATCTGAGCGTTTTGTTCCCTGTACGTTTTTACCAACACACCTTAATCAGAGTATGTTTTTTTTTCTCCCCTCTCTAAACCTGAACCCTTGAGTATTTTATCTTTGTTTTTCTGCAGCCTAACCAGCTAGAGAGCTATATAGTGATTGCGCGCGTGCGTGCGAAAGTGAAGAGAGGGGGACTGATAAAGGCAGATGTTCACCATGTCTTGCCAACAAAAATGCACGAGCTAGACAAACCAGGCTCCGCGACAGAATGCACAAATATTTATTCCCCTTTTTTTCCTCTAACAGCAACAGCATAGGCTACACATGTCAAAGTCACAGCACAGCCTTGAATTTAATATCGTGCACGAGCGCAACGCACGCACACACACACACACGCACTCACAAACACACTCCACTCTACACATGCTCAGGGTATCCGGGAACCTGCTGCTGTGTTAATTACTCTTAATGGCTCTATTAGGCGCACTGTGCTGATTAATCCAGTGGAATCCCTGCCTCTTCCTTCAGTCACCTGCTGCTCCTGCCCTGCCTGCACTGACTGACAGGAGGAGCGGTGGCCCCAGTGGCCTGCAGACCTGCACAAGGTCACCTGAATGAGACTTCAGTCCTGATCTCATCTCTGGATGGGCTCACACTATTGTTCAGTGTTTCCATCTCTGGCTCTCACAACTATATATCCTGTGTTCTCTGGTCGTCAGCAAACTGCCACCAATTTGTTTTTTGGAAATTGGCATTTATGTATGTTTCAGGGCTTGGAAAGGAAGCCCAATCTTTGTTAACATACCAACACTCGGATACTGCTGCCATGTACATTTGAACAATAGTGGAAGAAGGATTCACATATCATATGTAAGTAAAAGTTGGCTGCCTGAAGTGTCAAAAAAAGCACAGGATGACAATGACAGAAGTGTGACAATGTTATTAACACAGATGCAATATATTAGCAGCATTTTATCGTTGTAGAGGTTATTTAACTACTTCATATACTGTTATTCTACAATTCAGCACTATTTTATTTACTGATTGAAAGTTTTGTATGTAAAATCTTCTACAAAGTATTGCTGACAGACAAATGTTGGGGTGTAAAAAGTACAATATATCTCTTCAAGTACCACAAAATAGAAATATACAAGTGAA